CCGGCGTGCTCCGTCCCGGCTTTGTAGGGATGCGAGGTCAATGGTCTAACGACTACGGCATGCACGACTATGAGTACCCCCCCCCCCCCGCGCCCTAGTATCAGGTGACTCCAATTGCATCCTTTACCGCTCTGTGCAGTGGGTTTGAAGCTCACAACGAACATTTTGACGCACGTTGTTGTTGTTGTTGTTGTTGTTGTTGTTGTTGTTGTTGTTTCTCACATTAGCTCTATAGTCCACAAAAAATGGGGAGCCCGTGGTCTCAAAACCCGGCACATACGACGCCGCGAGAAAAAACAAAAAACAAAAATAGGGTACAAACCGCTCGGAGAAAGAAAACAAAATGATAGAAAGAAAAGAACAGGTATCGCACCGACGGTTCGAGAAAAGAGCCCTCGGACACCGATCAAAAGAAAACAAAAAAAAATAAGGAGGACGCTTCCCACACCCGCCCAAAGAAAAAATCAAAGGGTAACGTACCAGCACCAGGCACCACGCACCAGGGCATGGGAGTGTCGGAGCAAACAGGGCAAAGAGGCGGCAGACGTGTTGGAGTGCGACGGGTCTCTGCTGACTGCTCCACCCTCGCCCCGACTGCATCTGCACTGTTTGTTCCGCCAGTGCACTGTTTTGAACCAGGTGACTGCGGCGAGAGGCGTTGTCCGTGCTTCTGCCTCTGCATGGAATCTTTTTTGTGCCCCAGCTGTGCTGTTAGCTCAAGCAGGTGAGTATTTGTTGCTTCCGCGCTCAAGTTGGCCGCAAGCGATACGAAAACCGTACCCGCACCCCCCCTGCCACCAGCAACATGTGAGATACGTCAATCGTCTTGAGCCCTTTGGAATGGACGATGTAGAAGTGTGGGTAGAGGGTTAATGTATGACTAAGCACACGATGATTCATGCTCAAGTGACCCCCTCGTATTCGGTCCGCCTCCCTCTTTCTCGGCGGACGGCGGGTCTCGTTGTACGGCAGGATGTTTCTCATGGACAAGTTCGAGGTGCAGCCTGACCCGTGGGACAACCGCATCATCGTGAGTTACATAGGTCATCGTCACCCCTTCTTTGAACAGCTGACGCGCGTTGTGAGCACGATGCTCGGAACAGATGTAAGCAACGTGCAGTACTTCTATACTGCCTCGTGCATTGTGGCAATATGCACAGCCAATCAAGATATCCAAGTTTGTCTTCATGACCTTGCTTCAGTCTTTCCAGGCCTTCCTTCAAGCCCCTGAGTCGTGGCATCATGCCCGACCCCCCGCCCATGCTGTGTCGTTTCGTCTTGCAGCGCTTCAACAACTGCCTGCAGCTGCTCTCGTGCATCTGCCACTGTGCCGCTATCTTCGTCCGGGACCTCCGCGAGCTGGCGAGGCTCACTGATGTCCTCGCCAACTTGGTCTACTTGTCTGCGGTCGGCTGTATGACTGTGAGATTACCCCCGTGTGTCGGCGTTGGTAATACCCTGTGTGTTGGCGTTGGTGTTGGTGATGTGGGTTCTCTGCAAGAGACAGTCGCCCTAGGCACCTCGTTCGTGCAACGCAAGTAGGCTGGACAGAAAAGTTTTTCCGCGCTCGGTCTCAACCCAAACTGTTGCGGTCAGCCTGTCACGCGATTTGCTAAGTGTTCGTTCAAACGGACGACGGCCAACCTGCGAAATTGAGACGACTGAGCCCTGCGAAAAATGTCAAATGTTGGTGCTGTAGGCGGTTCGAGAGCGTTCGTCACAACGCAAACTCCCGAACATCAGGCAATGCGCAGGCGCCCCAAGGGTCCCGTCATGTGCTTCGAAGCGGCAACACAAAGGACAGCCGACAACAACAATACGAAGTATTAATATTCTGATAATTTCACCGCCACCGATGTGTAAGCATCATGTGTAGGGAAATCATTATTTATGATACCATTTCCTTGTCGTAAGATGACCCCGCTCACATGCACAACACTATACCAACGAATATGACATCCAAGCCGTAAGAAGCGACGGGAAAAAATGATGCGTCTCATCCCTGCTCCCCCGCACGTTGGGTAAAATTTCTCCTTTGATTACCCGCAGGGCCAAATGATGGCGGAAATGGAGTACCACGAAGAAACCTCTCCGAAGGCCCAATTCATCACGGGGCGTGAATACGGCGCCATGCTCGACCGTGGTATCAATTCGCAGGAAGCGATGGACTAAGGTCGGGGGTATTGAGTGGACTTGTTTCGGGGACATGCCTCCTGCGCTCGACGCTGGACGGTACCCACCGTGTTTTTTCAGTGTTTCATGGGAGGTCGGAACTCTTTGTGTTCGAAAGGGTTCCACTTTTTGCGCTTTGTTCGTTTGGTGATAGAAAGTGGGTATTGACAGCGACTTTCAGAGAGTCGGGGCGCGAGGAGAAAAAGTGAGTCAATGGGTGCTCGTTCTGTCAGATTACCATCATCAATGAATACTTATAATTCATTCTTGATTTGGCGTTTAGACTAAGGGATTTGAGTAATGTGTCTTGGAGTGTCGCCAGACTGTTGTGTTCTTTTTGTCCCTCTGTGGGTCACGTACTTTAGTACAGATTTGTTCACTCTTCGACTTCGAACAGTGGGGCAACGGAGGGGGGTGTGCGTGTGCTGCTGATGGTGGATAGCTGTCGAGGTCAGGTTTCACCTTTAACAAATACAGACCAACTACTGTTTAATAACTCCGGGGCCCGCAGTGAACACACGTCATACTTTGGTCATGACTCACAAACTATTTTTTCCATGGTCAACACGCAGAGCCTAGCACGTATCTCGTACACAGGTTCGCTTTGATTTATTCATTCGCGAGGCTTATGTGTAGGTATCATAACGAAAATCCGACGTCGATTATTTGTCATCTCCGCCAGAAATTTCCAAGGAGGAAGATTGGTGCGCGCGGTCAAGTTCTTCATGTTTTGTACTTGAGATATTCGAACTCAACTTTTAACCAAGTCGGTACGTTGAAGTGGTCGAATCGCGAGCTATTCTTCTGTCATTAGAGTACAGCAGTAGCATAGTAGTATCTAGTTGACCAACGGTGAAGTCGTCTGCAATGTATTTTTTGTTTTTCTCCCATTATTGGACTCTATCGTCTGCCCCTGTGGCCCCTGTCCTCCACTTCTACCAGCTAGACGACCCAACCGGGGTCACATGAGAGGGGGGGGTTGGACCCCCTCCTGCGGTTCCTGCCTGAGATAGGTAAAACCATTGTTGTCTACCATGAAGTAAGAGTAGCGGTGGGTATTAACAGCTAAGCCACCTCCCGCGCCAAAAGCTCGTTCTTCGACAGTAAAACCAACTGCGAAGATATTAAGGTATCGAAAGATAGTCGTTAGTGACGAGGCACAACTGTTTCCGTTTGCCCAAGTTGAAGTTGAAGTCTTGAGGGTAGAACGGCCCGGAGGGTATAAACAACCATTTTGACGATTGGTTAATCGCGGGGGTTTGAAACCGTTTCAAGACCCAAAATTTGGCACACATGTGGCCAACACAATGGTCGTGAAGAAAAATAAAAAAAAATCGGTGCCACCAGGGGATGAAAATTGGATATCCCCGGGTTATTGACGCAGATGTGGGGGGCGGGATTTGCCTCCGTTTGCCTGTACGGCGTGATGTGTGCATCGAAAACGAATAAAAATGATAGGTTTGGGGCATAAACGGGTTGCTCCTGTCAATAGCCGACCACTCAAAATAAATCACACCGAAAGGAGTTGTTACGGTCAAGAAATAGTTGTTCAAAATGGGTATATTTTCGGTGTTTTGCGTGCCGCTACGACAAGAATCAGCCCCGTACACGGGAGGCGGTTGTCCTCCATGCGCATAACGAAGCCCGCAAAACACAGCCTCCGTTTGCGCACGGTGGCCTCGATGGTTTCCTCGCAGCCGGCCTGGATGAGGGCCTGGGCGTAGGACAGGGGTCGGTCTGAGCGCTTCCGCTTGCTCCAGCCGATACACCGTGTCAGGAACTGGCGGTGGGTCCCATTCAGCTTGGTGTAGTGCTCCGCTGCCAGGCTCCACGAGGCGCACCCGTATAGGAGGGTCTGCACCACTTCAGCCTGGAGTAGTCGGATCTTGAGCTGGCGGTTGGCCCGTTTCCTGTCGTACATCGAAGTGCTGTTCCGGCGGTAGCACTTCCATGCTCGGCAGATGCGGCTCGTGATCTCCCGGTCGACCTTCCCATCCGCGCAGATGGTACGTCCGAGGTACACAAACCGATCTGTCTGCTTGTACGTCTGGCCAGCGGCGCTGACCGCGAACGGGCGTTCCCCCAGCCCTTTCGGTAGCATGCACATGATCTCCGTCTTTGGCTCCGATACCATCAGTCCGAACAGGCCGGCCACGACCTCGTGGCGTGAC